GGCTCGAGCAAGCTCCTCGGCTTTATGGTGTCAAATCGGGGAACCGAAATCAACCCCGACAAAAATCAAGGCAATCGAAGACATCATAGTTGTTGATAATGTCAAGGCTGTGCAAAGGTTAACAGAACGCATAGCCGCCTTGGGTCGATTTATTTCAAGGTCCTCAGATAGGAGTCACCGTTTCTTCTGACTGCTTAAGAAAAAGAGCAACTTCGTATGGAACCCGGAATGTCAACAGGCTTTGGAGGAACTCAAATGTTACCTATCGAGCCCGCCATTGCTTCACACCCCAAAGGCGGACAAGCAACTTTACCTATACTTAGCGGTCTCGGAGATAGCTGTAAGTAGGGTCTTAGTTCGAGAAGAGAAAGGTACGCAATTTCCTATTTATTATATTAGTCGGACCCTAGGTGAAGCCGAGACCCGATACCCACACTTAGAGAAATTAGCGCCTACTTTAATAAGCGTCTCCAGGAAGTTAAAACCATATTTTCAATGTCACCCGATTTGTGTAGTGACCACTTACCCCCTTAGCAACATTTTGCACAAGCCTGAGCTCTCAGATCGATTGGCCAAATGAGATGTCGAGATCAGTGGTACAATATCGAGTATCAACCTCGAACGGCCATCAAGTCTCAAATTTTGGCAGACTACGTGGCCGACTTTACGCCAGCCCTCTTACCCGAGGTCGAAAAGGAACTATTATTAAAATTGGGTACGTCATCGGGGGTGTGGACCCTCTTCACAGATGGCGCTTCGAACGTGAAGGGGTCCGGGATGGGCATCGTTGTGAAGCCGCCCGCAGGTAATACGATTAAACAGTCTATCACAACGTCAAAATTGACTAACAATGAGGCCGATATGAGGCCATGATTGCAGGTCTCGAGCTAGCTAAGAGCTTGGGAGCGGAGGCCATCGAGGCCACATGTGACTCCCAACTTGTGGTAAATCAAGTCAACAGAACTTTCGAGGTTCGAGAAGATCGAATGCAGAGGTACTTAGACAAATTACAAGTGTCTCTACATTGATTTAAGGAATGGACGCTACAACATGTACCTCGAGAACAAAATAGCGAGGCCGATGCCCTTGCAAATTTGGGGTCGTCGATCGAAGACGATGAACTTAGCTCGGGGACTGTCGTGCAACTTTCAAGGTTAGTTATCGAATAAGGACAAGCCGAAATAAACTCCACGACTTTAACTTGGCATTGGAGGAATAAGTACATCGAATACCTAAAGAACGAGAAGCCTCCATCGGATCCTAAAGAATCGAGGACTCTGCGCACGAAGGACGCACGGTTCACATTGGCTGAGGATGGAACACTATATAAGAGAACGTTCAATGGACCGTTAGCAAAATGTTTGGGACCAGGAGACACCGACTATGTTCTACGGGAAATTCACGAGGGCACTTGTGGAAATTATTCCAGTGCCGAATCATTGGTTCACAAAGTCATCAGAATAGGATACTATCGGGCCGATATGGAAAAGCACACTAAAGAATTTGTTCAAAAGTGCAACAAATGTCAAAGGTATGCGCTGATGATCCACCAGCCCGGAGAGCAACTCCTCTCGGTCCTATCCCCGTGGTCATTCATAAAATGGGGGATGGATATCGTCGGCCCTCTACCATCGGCCCCAGGTAAAGCTAAATTCATTTTGTTTATGACAGACTATTTCTCTAAGTGGGTTGAAGCACGGGCCTTCGAGAAATTCAGAGAAAAAGAAGTTATAGACTTCATTTGGGACCACATTATATGCCGATTCGGAATGCCTGCCGAGATCATATGTGACAATGAAAAGCAATTTGTCGGTAGAAAAAAGACAAAGTTTTTCGAAGACCACAAAATAAAAAGGATCATGTCAATGTCGTACCATCCTAGTGGGAACGGACAAGCCGAATCGACGAACAAGCCCGTCATCCAAAATCTGAAGAAAAGGTTGAACGAAGCTAAAGGAAAATGGAGATAAATATTCCGCGGTCTTTTGGGCATATCGAACAACGTCGAAATCCAGTACGGGGGCAACATTGTTCTCTTTATTCTACGGTGTCGAAGCTCTGATCCCGGTCGAAGTCGGGGAACCTAGCTTCAGGTTTCGGTATGCAACGGAAGAATTAAATCACGAGGCTATGATATGAGCCTCGAATTGCTAGATGAAAGATGGGAAGCCGCCCTCGTTCGAATGGCTGCACAGAAACAGCGGATCGAGAGGTACTACAATTGAAGAACCAATCTTCGACACTTCAAAACTGGGAACTTAGTCCTAAGAAAGGTCACCAACAATACTCGAGACCCAAACGAAGGAAAACTTGGCCCGAACTGGGAAGGACCGTATTAGGTCCTCGATATCGTCGGATAAGGATCCTACAAACTTGGCACGATGGATGGCGAGCAATTACCAAACAATTGGAATGTATCACTTCTCAAACGATATTATTGCTAAGGTACGAACTTCTCCATTTTCATTTACATTTTATACTAACCAATTGCATGTGTTAAACCGAAGACATCAAAGGATTCTTCATCACAAAGTCCTTAGGTCTGAAAGCACGCGTTGCACTCTTTTTCCCTTAGACTGACTTTTATCCCAAATGGGTTTTCCCGGCGAGGTCTTTAAAGACGCAACCATTGTTCGTGCTAATTTAGAGCAATTCAATAGTATCCGAGGCTTCTTTACAATCAACCTCGAATACTAGGGGGCATCACCCTCGGACTTCAACTTTGTTACAAGGAAGATACTTCGTGTCAACAAGATCTCGATAGGTAAAACTTTGTAAGGGCCAAATGGTCAAACGAACCGTGCCCATTTAGATCACTCGAGCCTAAAGGCAAACATGTACGCATGTATAATCTATTGAGAGAAGTATTTTTCCTCGCCAAATATTTCTTGCCTTAAAGAAATTTTTACTTTACAATTCCATACTTTTGATCTATTGTGGAAACAGGCTTAAGGGTCGATCACAACTGAAGTTCAAACAACTTACCCCGTACTCGAGGAAAGCCGTTCGAGAAATCGATGTAATCGAATTATTAAAATCTCGAGATCATAAGACCTTAAAAGGGCAACCCTCATTTTACAGGCTACGGCCACCCCACACGGGGACTGACACTTCGAACAAGTTTGAAGTGTAATCCGGAAACAAGCCCAAGAGGCAAATCCCAAGTTAAAGGCTACGACCAAACTAACACGGCTTGGAGACATCCGAATCCCGTAACAAAAACAGGCCTTCTAATATCTTCACAAAATCGATTAAAAGGGCTACCCTCGGCAAAATTATAAAGGGTTTCGATAAACATTAACCCCCTTAAAACCCTAAGGGGTACCGGATCGTTCGAACTCTCGAACAACCTTAATTTATGCTAAGGCATAACAAATTTTTGACCTTTTTAAGCCAAAAAGGGAAAAAAGTCATTCTTTTGAGGCCATATCGGCCTAATACAAAAGCCTAAGGGCCATCTCTTTTGAGTTCGAGGGATCATCCTCACTCAATTAAAACCCAAGGGTTACTCTGCTTCGATTTAGAAGAAACATTCACTCGATAACAATTCGATTTCGGTCCAAAACGGCCTAAATCTCGAATATATGAATGCAATCCTATAAGGCATTGATAAAACAAGTAAAGACAAAATAAGGGAAAATCTCGAATATATGAATGCAATCCCATAGGCAAGCATTGATCTAAAAGCTCTTCTAAAATCAGCATTTTTCGCCCCACGACAGTTCCAAGATATGAAGCTCATACTAGTGTTTCTATTGTTTGAACTCCTCCTTTGGTTGAGAAGAGAGTTCCCGTTGCTCGACGTTCCTTCCTGGTTCATCCAGAAGTTGGTAAACATTGTTGGAACCAATACCATTGCGCATTGATATATGCCCGGTGGATTCAACTTCCTTATACACTTAAAGGCCTCCTTCTCAAACATTAATTTTTACCTCTCTATGCCAATCAAATCTTGTTAAAACGACAAGGTGCCAATATCCTTACAATTATAGGTTACCCTTTATCCCGTAAAGCAAATCTTGTGTGTTGGATGTGCCAATGAAGAAGGTTTAAGTATTCTCCTAATGTAATCTGATTCTTTTGTCTAGTTTGGTAACCAACGCAATATGATTGATGAAATATGATACCGTAGCAACAAAATATATTTTTCCCCACTTGTTATTTTCATCAAATTAAATAATTTAATGAAGTAAGAATATATATTAATTAATTATAGTTATGTGTGGTATCTTTAACTTGATATAAGTTTTTACTGCGTAGCTATTAGTTGATAAGCTTGATATGTTGCATGCTTGCTCCTTATATTATTCCATCTTATACTACCAGAACTTGCTTCATTGCACAAACAATCTGTATACTTAGGGCTCGTTTGGTACGAGGAAAAAATGATAATTAATATTATGATTAAATTTGAGATAAGTTTATCCTATGTTTGGTTAAGGTAAAATTGCGGTATAATTAATCTCGAGACCAATTATCCCGGAATTATAGTTTTATTTTTATCTAATGGGAGAGTGAGATAATAATCATGGGATAACTAATCCCGAAATAATTAATTTTGGGATAGCTTATTTTCCAACCAAATCACCCCTTAGTTCTCTCCTAATGTAGGTAACTCACTTAGGTTTACCAGGTTCCCTTGGACTATATCCCCATTCCTTCTCTAGGTTTCTTCCCCACACTTAAAAAAAAAACAAAGAAGAAGGAAAAATGAAGATTATTCAACTCGGTAAAAGAGTGGGTAAATATTTATGACAAAGTTTCTATTGGAAGGATTATGACGTGTATGGAATATTTGAGTTTGTTATATTAGATCATAAAGACAAAAAATTTATATTAAATTAAATTAATTCGCTAAGACTCGATAAAAATGATGAGAATGCATAAAAAATAAATCACGATTAAATGTGAAATTTTATATACAAACACACACACACACATATATATATATATATATCATGGTTTACTAATTAATTATGTTGGGTGGAAAAAAGAAAACAAGAAGAAAAGCGATAGAGAAACAAGAATATTTTGATTAATTGGAAAACAAAGTGAGGAAAGAGAAAAAGATTACGGGAATAAACAGCTCTACAAGATCAAGAAAAAGTTTCCACTTTCAACCCTCCTCATAAACCCTACAAAATCAAGTCATCCATCTATCTCCCTCTTAAGGTTTTGAGCTTTTCATAAACTTCAAATAGAGATGCAATTGACACTCGAATTCGGGTAATTTTTATACTATTTTTCTTTTATATGTTGTATCGAATCTATATTTCTCTTTTTAATGGTACATCCAAATTCAGCTAATTTTCAAGTATTTGATTAGAGTTGGTCCAATCCTGGGATGTAATCTTTGAAAGATAAGATCTTTAGCTGAAACCCTTTACAGGTTAGTCTGTCTAGCCACGATTGCTAAAAAAGGGAAAGTTGTATATAAGGCTTTTGGATGGGCGGTTTATGGATTTTAGAACCTTTAAAGATATTTGGGACCAAACAAGCTGTTGAAAGATTTAATCTTATTTGCAGTATATGTTCCAGTTTTATGTTTCTTGCTAATTCTTGGCACAATCTCTTTCCTATGTATTTGATTTACTACTTTGTTTTTGCCGTGCTACTGAGAAAGTGACACTTAGTGTCTTTGGATTATTTTTGAGTACTAACAAAATCCCAAGCAAGAGCACTTAGATATTAGTCAGTCACTGCTCCAAAAGTTGATCCAAATATTTATTCTTATTTCTGGTTGAGGATCCTCCCTACATGACATAGCCATATTAGTATGAATGCATTGACGAAGAGTGTTCTAATAGCCGACCTTACTAGTTTGGAGTTGTAGTCGATTGATTGAGCAAAGCGGGGGATACTCACATAGTCAATCTTTGTTCCCGCTGTAATATCATTTGTGTGCTTGTTGTGCTATACTAAAGTTGACCGTGTTTGTGAGTATCAGCCTAATGTTTGCAATATTTCATTAGCTTAAAGTTAGTAGTTTCAGTTGTTCATGCATAAAGTGGGATATTTGAGTTTTCATATTTCACATCCAAGTCTCACACAGGAATTCCTTCTTTTTTTTTTTTTTTTATAAATATTTTTAGAAGTCACAGAAAGTTGCCTTTTTTTATGAAACTTTAGTTAAAGGATGTTGTAAATCTTATGCTATATGCAACATTTAGCTGGTCTTTTACTAGATGAATATTGCAAACTAGAGCACCCACATTCTATGTTGCTCGGACTCTCAGACACGGGTGCGGCATCATTTTGGAGAGTCCGCGCAACATTGCCCGCATTGTCTTACTCCAGATGTTGTTATCTGCCTGCGACTTAAAGAATCACCCATTGTGTTGGCTGTTAGCTTTTTACAGTGTTCTAAAGGTAACTTATGCCTTTGCGCGAGCAAATTGGGATCTTACAATCGATGTGAGTACCTTATGAGAATCATGAAGAACATTAGTAATGGCAATTCGACAAATAACTGAGCATAGTAATGATGGCAAAAAGGAAATTGGGTCCAAATCATGAAACTCTTGAGAGATGGAATTTGCATAATATGTTCAATTTTTTTTGTAATAATTTGAACATTGGTCTAACATGTGACATGTTGAAGAAGTTGTTCTAATAAATAACCCTTGGAGGTCTTAGACTCTTCGGATTTGAGATATAGCAAGTTTCTTTTGTTCAACACCTAGGAGTGTTTGAGTTTCGACTCCAAAATTCAACAAGACATCACTGTTAGCAGAGCAGGATCATTTACCATCTTCTGCAAACGCTTGTTATACATGATGGGATAGTGCAGTGACTATTCCCTATGATTCTACCTCATTACTTCTATTTGTAGTTGTTCAGCGGCCTAGCAGTGTGTCAAGAATAACATCTTAACATCTGTCTTGTGTAAATGCGGATAAATGAAACTCATGTATCTAGTGATGGTGGGAAGAATTTCGTGACCTTATATCAACTACTTGAAAATATACTCAGGAATTGTCATTTCTTGTCAGTATGACACTTATTGATTAGCCTTTATACATTCCTTATGTGTTCTTTTCTACTTCCTTTTAAAATGCCTTACCATACACATCTGACCTTATTGATATCTTCCAATTTTGCTTTTACTTCCAAAACTCAGGGGAGGGTTGGAACTTCTTTGTGATTCTGTGAAGATCCATAACATTAATGTTGACCCTCAAGATGGAGAGAAGCAGGTGCAATTTCATCTCTAATAAATGCTGTCGTACATAGATCAAATTAAGCATGTACTTTCATCTGTCTAGGGGAGCAGTTGTATGATTCCTTTTTCATTCTTTTCCTTAACCAGTTGACGATGAAAAACTTGCTCACTTGGGTTCGCACCAATTTGATCAAGGAGAGGCCTGAAATGTTTATGAAAGGAGACTCGGTGTAAGTTGGATCAGCTTTTTACCCAGCTTAGCAATACTTAAATACATAAGTTCCTTATGCTGTTACAGTGACGACCTCATCCCCTGTTAAAAGTCCTCCTGTTCCCTCCTCCTCCAGTTATGCATAACTTACCTTACTCCATAGCGTAGCATGCTGAGTGAAATGGTGCCACCATCAAATACATTGCCATACTTGTTGAGACCTCCTTGTCCCTTATCTTGTTTGAACACGTTCATACTTGCACACTTACACAAGCCAAGAAGTGACAGAAGAGACGACGACAACAACATACCCAGTATTATCCTACACCGTGGGGTCTGGGGAGGGTAGTGTGTACTCAGACCTTACCTCTACCTTGTGAGGATAGAGAGAGGTTGTTTCCAATTGACCCTCAGCCCAGGAAAGCATAAGCACCCCATTAATGAAAATATAGACAAGAAGGGACAGTACCAAAAAGCCATATAAAAGCAGAATAAAAACAATACCCTACCTTGTGAGGATAGAGAGGTTGTTTCCAATTGACCCTCAGCCCAGGAAAGCATAAGCACCCCATTAATGAAAATATAGGCAAGAAGGGACAGTACCAAAAAGCCATATAAAAGCATAATAAAAACAATAAGATAGTAAGGTGATCAACAATGAAAGAAAATAACGGTTAGTCATAAATACCTACTACCAACAGAAAGCGAGACTGCGTGCCAATACTACTGTTGTGAACACTCTAGACTACCGACTCTACTACCCAACCCTTGACCTTCATACCTTCCTATCAAGGGTTATGTCCTCATTCAGCTTAAGAGAGTTATTTATAACTTGTATTTGTTGCAGGAGGCCTGGAGTTCTAGTCCTTGTAAATGACACTGATTGGGAACTAAGTGGCCAGCTTGAAACAGTGCTGGAAGAGAAGGATAACGTTGTTTTCATCTCAACATTGCATGGCGGTTGATGTTGATATTATACATCAGGAGCTTCTAAAAGTTCAGACTCTAATAGAACTTTGGTCATTAATTATGTCCTGTACTAGTGCATGAATGCTAATATAAGCGCATTTTGATTACTGATTCCTTTCTGTCCTGGCACCGTGGCAGAAGGAAAATGATGCAAATACTACCTTGAATCATTTGAAGAAATTTTTGGTTGAGCAAAATTCACAAATATTTGCTAGTCTTACTCGAGAAATACCAAAAAAATGGTATAAAAAAAAAAAGAATAAATTTTTTACTAGTCTTACTCAACACCAATAAGAACACATGCTCAGAAACATGGGAGATTAACTTATATTCAAGTGAATATACTCTAGAGCTTATATTAGCAAAACTAAAAGAATATCTATTCCGAAATGAGGCGGTGAAAATGATAAATTCAGAGGTGGCATCCACTGCTCTCAGCAGAGCTATGTCTATATAGTTGTACGATTCCAAAAAGTATATATTTATATAAATTTGCATCCAATGCCACAAAATAGTAGTGGATGTAGTGAACATAAATATAGAAGTTATTGTGGGGAAGATGATAGTAAAACTATTACTGGAGTCTGAAATACTAAACAACAAGGAGAAAAGAATATTCTTACCCTAAACAAGTGCTTTCTTACTCTTGTAAATATTCAAACAACGACTTCTAATGGATTTATCCAGCATAACCGCTGGTTTATCTGGTGAGAGCTTACGTTTTAAGAGTATATATTTCTCTTTGGTTTTATTGCGTCTCCCAGTTTGTCTTGTTTTACTTAGTAACTGGAAAGCCCCAAAATGGTATTTTCCAGGGCATATGAAGCTTAAATTTTATAATTATTCTACAGAAGAAGGGGAAAATGTGGGGAAAAGGAGCTAGAAAATAACCAGAATGTTGAGAGTGGGATTTGAACCCACGCCCTTTCGGACCAGAACCTTAATCTGGCGCCTTAGACCAACTCGGCCATCTCAACATCCCTGCCCAAGAGGTAGTTAGAAACTATCTATCTTATAGTAAAAATAGCGTGAGCTAGCCAGTTTTCTAACTGGTCATTCAAAAATAGCCAGCGTTTGCAAAATAATTGAAAAATAACCATTATTTTGCTGCAACATGAAAAGATCCAGCATAATATACTGGAGATTGGTACACCTGTGTATGAATTTCCAGCATATTATGCAGGAACTCCAAAACGCGGAAAGTTCCAGTATATTATGTTGGACCGGTATATTATAATGGAACTCCAGTATATTATACTGGAATATTTTTCCGAATTTTGAATAGTGTTTTCGTTCAGATTTATCTTTACATGAAAAGTGACTAAATTTCGATTACTTTTGAAATCGTGGCTATTTTTGAATGACCACTTATAAATCTGGCTATTTTTAAATTTCTCCCTACGTTATAAGGGAAAGAATGTTACAATAATATTTCTCTGTCTATGTAGATGAAATTAACAGTTTTCTTGTTGCGTGGTTATAAGAGTAAACATTTGTCTTACCTTTTAAGGACTTAATAGTTGATCGAAGAGAATTACACCTAATTCTCAACAAAAGAACAAATCAAAATAAGGTAACACAAACCTTCTCACTATAGTTCACGATTGGAATAAAAATTTGCTCATCATCTCCAAGAAACTTTCACTGCCTTTTAGGTTCACTACATAAATACCGGCTTCATCATTTGGTTTACATCTAATGAGACCATTGGTCCCCTTTCCTCTACAAGTACATTGTAAGCCTAAATAACCCGACTTATTAACTTACCAAAGGTACAAAAGAACCTCCCCAAAAATAAATGAAACAATCGTACATGAAAATCCTCTTGAAAAATACACAAGTATTCGTTCAATGATACTTCCCTTAATAAAAATACAAAAGCGACGAAGCTGAAACAACACGCTCCATCGCCCAGGTCGTCTGAGATTGGTTATATCTTCTGTTTGCCTTTTCTAACTTTCTCTAATTCTGCTTCAGCATCTTTCAACTGTTCTTTCAATGAAGCTACTCTATTCTCCAGCTCTTCCACTGAGCCTCGAGCAAGAGAAGGCTTGTATGGTGTTATAAAATTATGAGAAAATCCTTTTAGGGCTTCAACCCCACAAACCTATCAAAAAATAACTCATCAGTGAACAGACTGGCACAAAAGGTTCTCACATTGGTGGTATGCTGCAGTATTTTTCATGTTATGGGCTACTAGAGAAGATTCATGAATTTATGATCAGTAATTTTTTTTCCTTTCAGTACAACGAGGATAAATCAGTAAAAAAGGAAGAAGCAGACGTCTATGCGCAAGAGCATTTTCATACCTCTTGTGGCAGCAAAGGCAACTTCGTAATGTTAAAGTCGTCATATAACATGTAGAACTGATCCAAGTACTTCTGTTGCATCCGCATTCTAGCCTTCAGCAACTTGGATTCAACAACTAAAAAGGATTACAACTCCTACAAATTAGTTTATCACTTCAAGCAGAAGAAATTAGAACTCTTTTTGACCTATTTTATATGAGATCGATTGGGAACTTAAAACATTAGTTTACTACATATAGTACAACAACAGTAGTGGAAGAACACATTAACATATTAATTGAGTAGTTTTAAAAGTTTGAATTCGATTAGGTACATCAATTTGAGTTCTTGGAACAAGTAAGTTGTATGAATAAAATTACTGACAGAAGGGTGTCGCACATTTGGAACTTCCCAAAATTAAAAAAGAGTCATACTATATAGCACGGGTCAAGGCACAGGGAATATTAATGCAATGAAATGTACAAGCCAGATGAAAATTAACGAAAAAAAAAGGAAAGAAGATGGGAACTGTACCTTCTTCGTCGAAAATCACTTGGTTAATTATAATGTTGTGCGTATCAATCTCAAATTTAGCAAGTTCCTGAACTAGTCTTTCAGTCTCATATAGAGAGAGGAATTCCGGAATGCAAACACAAACGAATGTTGTCAAGTCCTATTGAAAGAGGAAAAAGAAAAATGGTGTTAATGCATCAGTTGAACTTGATAACATAGTGGAGGTTTAAGTGAACAAAGAACAAAAGAATATTCAGCATTCAGCATCTGGTGAGACACATCTGTAACCTTTTTTTCTTTCCTTTATTGAAGGGGAAGGTGGTATGCTCCAGCAATTATAATACACGCACAAAAGCTACAGAATTTGAATCAACAGGCAATAACAGCAGATTCCTCTACAATCAAAGTAAAAGAAGCAGAACAAATGTATTGAATATATCAATATGCTTTGCTCCCCACTTCAAAATAACTCATTGTTTCAAACTTTAAAACATACAGGAACCAGTTAGGTGTCAAAGTTCAGACTTTAATAATGAAGAACTACACAAATAACTAGTAGTGAGAACTATTTACAACTGAAACATTAGGATAAATAGTTATCTAACCAACAATACAAGGCTGCATGAACTCTTTACTGTGCAACCAATTTTAATGATGGTTCAAAGAAGCAACAGATATTCAAAATAGTAGCATCCAGCAGATATGAGAGATGCACAACTTAGAAAAATTAATGAGTCCGTTACTTCAGCCTTGGTTTTAGCAAATTTCTTTCTCACCCATGGTACTCTGTTTCTAGTCCAAGCAAACTTATCCCCACCCCCAAAAGACACTATAAAACCACCACTAAAATAGAGTGAAACACAGGGAGTAATACCAACAGAAAAGGTTCAAATTTAGTTATACAGCTTGTATTTGTCTCTGGTGAAAGAGTAAAGGAGCTGTATCTTCCGCTAAAACACGAGATTCTAGTAGGCGAGATCCTGCAAAAAGATATTCTGGCACCACTTTCCCTGAATTTGTTGATTGCTAACTTAAACTTCACCCTCTTAGGTCCAAAGGCAAATGAATCTCTGAGATTAAACTAATTTGTGCCACTATGCTTGGCCCAGCAACAATTACACCCTCCCTCCCAATTTGTTTGGTAGCATTTGACTGGACACATATTTTAAGAAAGAAATGAAGACTTTCGACACATAAGCTAAATACAGATCCAGTACCAAAAGTACCTTTCCGATATGGTCCATATATCATGTCAATTCCTGCAAAAGCATAGCATTGAAAGCAAAATGGTAACATAAAGATCATGAAGTTTCTAAATAGAGGAAGGTGCCAATTTTTTTGGGAGCCAAAGAAAGAGAAGAGTGCCAACGAATTTGGACAGAGAGAGGGAGCACATGAAAATGTCTTCATAAGAATGGTAATTTATTGCTCCCAGGGCTTTGATCCAATGGTAAGGATACACAGCATGGGGATGTGTGGATTGGAGCGCACGTTACAATTTTGAGAACCCTACCATTGAAATGAAACCTCGAATTTATGTGGGAGCCGATTAGAGGGACGGGTCCATACTCCCTAAGTTTCGAACTTGTGGGCAAACCGGGTTGAGCTAGCTACCTCACAGCAGATTTCTCGGTTATCAACCCAAAAGAAAAGGAAAGAAAAGAAGGAGTGACGATCTTGAGGTACAAATCTTACCGGATCCTTAAACTGTTTGTTCACTTCTTCAATAATTTCTTTCATGCCTTCAAGCTTGCCAAGGATAGCAGCCTCCCCAAATTCTTCATCAACACCCAATAGGCGAGTCATCTGCAATAGACAAACTTTAGTAAATTTCTCTGTTTTCCTTTCTTGCAAACAGCATCAACCTTGAACTTCAAATTAGCAGCTTAGCGGGGGATTTTTATAGGGAAAAAAATATGGAAAATAAACTTTTGGGGTGTGTCGGGGGTTAGGTGGGTGATTTTATTTCGAGGGGCGTTTACCTGACTCAGCACACCTCCGAATCTACTCTTCAAACTCATCACTTTGGCAAGCCCTTTCTCTAGAGTCGATGGGAATTGTAATAGCCGAAGAGTATGCCCTGTTGGGGCTGTATCAAACACTATTACTGAGTAGTCCATGGTTTGCACCAATCTGGAAAGAAACGAATGGAAAAAAGTTATAGCCAGATTTGATTAACAAGCCAGCAGTGTTAACCTACCGACAAACAAATATATCGGCCTCTAGACAAATGTAAGAAAGTAGTCACGTTTAAGCACTACGGATGTACCATACGAAAATGAACTTTGAACCAAAAATGTTAGAAGGATCTCAACAAATTAATGAATCAGATGTTCAGGAAAAAGAATAGTCATGATGATCACTTTCAGTTGAAATAACATCCCTTGTCCAATTTCGTTTATATCT